TCCATTGAGTCCTTGAATCCATGTTTGAACCCAATTTTCCATTGGCTAGGTGAAAAATCAGAAATTGCCCTTCTACAATCAAAACCCTAAAAATGACCATTTTGCCCTTTTGATGATCTGATCAAATTTCTTGAGGAGTTGTGGTCCAAACTTGATCAAATGGTTCATATGGGTTTATAATGTTGATGTGGATAAAAAATTATGAGGTTTGACTGTAAATTGGCTACAGTTGATTTTTTCCCCAACACAGCTGATTTCTAGGTCAACTGTCCAATTGACTGGGCAAAAAATTGACTCAAAGCTTGAAACTTGGTATGAGAAAACTTATAAGTCAAAAATGAAATATTAAAGTCACTTTGAGAATTTAAAGTCCAAAAATCCCTATGCAAACTCAAACCCTAATTTCAGGTCAACAGTGCAAGGAGATGTCTTGAGCTGAGCAAAAACCATAATCCTGTCTGGAGTCTAAAGAGTCTTGTGAGGGGAAATCTTGATAAAATGAGAGGGAAAATTTTGGGGTACAACAAATATCATATATAATTCAATCATAAACCAAAAAATCTTTCACCTCTAACCCCACATACCAATTATCATGAACCCTATTATAGAGTCAGAACCCCACCCTTACCTTGGATTGAAGGTTGCTCTATAACTTTTCCGGTTGATTTTCCGTTCTGTCTCTTTTCCTCTTTTCCAACAGCTTTCACGTTCTTTCTCCAATCCTTATTCTTCTTACTGCTTCTTCTTTTCTCCTTATTCTAACAATAATAAAATAACCCTATTATTCTCTTTATTCCTTAATGGGCTTAAAACTAATACACCCCCTTATTACTACTTCTATCCTTTAAAACAAGCCTACATCAAATAATATCATTATTCAAATATTATTTCACCACTTTAATAAAATAAATAAATCCAATTAATTACCACACAACTTCACGTCCATCTGACATATGTACTAACTGTTTATTTCTGCTAGACCAACAACCAACCTGATTGTTTCGATCCTAACAACACGTGTAAAAATCTCATCAAAGTCGATTTCTTCTTTCTGAAGAAATCCATTCGACACACGTCTAGCCTTTTGTCAAGTTACTTCCCCTTTGGGATTTAACTTCACCTTGTATACGCACTTGACATTAATTTCCTTCTTTCCTTTAGGCAATTCAACAAGTGACCAAGTGTTGTTGACTTCAATGAACTTCATCTCCTCATTCATTGCTTTTATCCACTTCGAATCCTTCAATGTTTCAGTTGCATTGACTGCTTCGACATCTTCATGGAAAACATAGTGTACCAACTCACCTTCATCATCGGCCACATCATCTGATATAATAACATATTCTTGCAACCTTGTAGGCATATGTGTTGTTCTCTGAGGTCTACTTGGGCATGCATCACCTCTTACTTCTTCCTGTCGATCTTCTTCTCTTTCGACTTCAGTTACTGGTTCTTCATAAAAGATTCTCACTGAATCCTTGTTTACATCTTCAGTCTAATCACATTCCTTAAGCTCATCTATGATCACGTCTCTGCTGATCACTACTTACTTTTTCACTGGGTCGAATAACTTATATCCTCTAGTCGAATGATATCCTATTAGGATCATCTGACTTGACTTGTCATCAAGATTTCTTCTCTACTGACCAGGTACATGTATATGTGATATAGATCCAAATACCTTCAGATGACTCAAGCAAAGCTTGACACCAGACCAATATTCTTCTGGCATAATTCCTTCTAGCTTCTTCGTCAGACATCTATTCAAAATGTATGTTACAGTCAACACTGTTTCACCACAAAAATCTTTAGGTAAGTGATTGCCTTTCAACATACTTCTCATTATATTCATGATGGTTCGATTCTTCCTTTCTGTAGTTCTATTCTGTTGTGGAGTGTAGGGTGGCACCACTTCATGCATAATCCCTCCTTTTTCACATAACATGTTGAAGTCTTTCGACACATATTCTCCACCACCATTAGTTCTCATAATCTTGAGATTTCGATCACTTTGTCTTTTGACCATAGATTTAAACTTTGAAAATAGCTCGATCACTTCACTTTTCTTCTTAATCAAGTAAGTTTGCAGTTTTTGACTGAAATCATCTATGAATGTGACAAAGCACATGTTCACCTGGATTGGTCCATATATATCAGAGTATATGATTTCAAGAATAGCTTTCGACTTGCTTCCAGGATCCTTGTTGAAGTTATTCTTGTATTGCTTCACCTACACACATTCCTCACATACCTCCTTTGAAATGTCGATTTTTGGCAACCATGAAACCATATTTCTTCTTTTCAAATTTATGATGTCTTTGAAGTTGAGATGGCCTAGTCGATAGTGCGATGTTCATTCATCCCTGCTTGCTGTAGTCGCAAGACACTTGTGCCTCATCACATTTAGTTCAATCTTAAGGTTCTATTCTGAAACATAGGAGACTTCAAGATTAATCTTCCTATTGTATCGACAACTCTCATCATCTTGTCTTTAATCGACACTTCATAATTCTTTTTGACCAACTGCCCTATACTGAGAAAATTTCTCTTCATGCCTGGTATGCATAACGCATTGGAAATTACTGACCTCTTACCATCTTTCTTCATAATCAGAACGTCTTCAATACCTTCAGCTGCTAGAGTATTGTCATTTGTGAATTTCACCATGTTCTTCATTCAGGGTTTTATGTTGACAAACCAATCTTTCCTCCCAGACATGTGTGACGAGCATCCTGAATCCAAGTACAATTGGTTCTTGAATCTCTCTCCATCTCTTGTTGTGACCATCGACATTATTTATTCTTCTTCATGTTTTACAAACTTTGCATCACTTTCTTGATTCTTTCATTTTTTGGACAATCACTAGAATATTAACCATACTTATGATAATTGAAACACTGAATGTGACTCTTGTCAGGTTTTTGACCACCACCTCTTCCTCTACCTCCAACACCACCTCTTTGGTTGCCTTGGTATGAAGGTCTTCTCTGATTCAACACAATTCCTTCATGCTATTCTCCTTTACCAGTCTAATTGTTGTAGCTTCCTCTACCTTTATCGTTGAACCACTTTCCTTTGCCTTTATTTTCTCTGGCTGGCTGCGCTTGCAAAGCCACGTCACTCTTCGACTTGCCTGCAAATCTTTCGGCCATTCTTTGTTCATGAGATTCAAGTGTTCCTTAAAGCTCTTCTTTTGTCAATTTCGACAAATCTTTAAAATCTTCTATGGCTACCACCACAGGGTCAAACTTCAGAGTCAAAAGACCTCAAGATCTTTGCAACAACTAATCTTGATTTTAGCACTTCTCCATATACTTTGATTTGATTCACCATTTTCGTAACCCTAGTGAAGAAATCAGTTATGCTTTCACTTTCTTCCATCTGAAATAATTCATACGTTCTTTTGTGAGTTTGTAACTTCACCTCTTTCACCTTTTCTACACCTCCAAAAGACTTTTCGAGAATTTCATAAGCTTCTTTTACAGATTCTAAATCACTCACCTTTTTGAAATTGTCTGGACTGAGACATTAATGAATTATAAAAAGAGCTTTATAATTCTTCTTCTTCAATTTTTTGTGTGCAATATCTTCTTCTTCTGTTGCGTTTTCTTTAAGTGGTTATAACTCTTATTTCACAAGATCCCAAAGATCTTGACAAAAGAGCACAACATTCATCTACTTGCACCAATTCTCATAGTTATCAACTTTAAGAATTGAAAGACTTGCTGGAAAATGCACATTCAAATGATTTATTGCCATTGTGATTTTCTTGCTTTGAATCGCTCAATCGGAGTTCTAGATACCAAATATTAGAAATTCACCAAAATATATGGAAAATTTCTATCAATCTTGATGAACAAGATTGTTATCAATACACAATAACAATGAAAGAAAGAATTAGAGTTTACGAAAATAAAGGGAAGAATATGATGATTTTCTGCAAAATTTCTCTCTGTCCATAAACTATAGAAAATCTTATTCACTTGCAACTGCAAATTCTATGAATACAAGTTGTGTTCAATAATAGGGGTTACTCCCTCTATTTATAGTTTTATGTTAGCTTTCTCCCCTAAGTCAAAGCCTAAAACACAAAAATCCAAAATATCTATTTTGGATCTAAGTCAAAATCCTATGTCGAGGCTACCTCCTTCGACACTTTAACTGCTAAACAACTCGACACACACACATCAATTTCAACACAACCTTTCTTATATCGAGTAACATGTTGTTTCGGCACAAAGAATTGCAACTCAACACAAATTTTCACATATGCAACATACACATTGATGTAAGATTCGTCTGAGAAATTCATATTTTAAACGGTGCATAATAAATTAATTTGAAATAAATAAATAACGGCTAATGAAACACTCAATTCAGATTGTAGAATCCATATGTGCATTATAGGGGTTAGTCATGTGTTCAGATTATATAATTTGAACTCACATTAAATGTCTGAATTTTATAACTTAAATTAAATAAGCACATATTAAATGAATGACGTGAATAAAATGAAATACTATAAAATATAATGAATAAGATTTAATAGTTACATTATTTTTTTGTATTCAAACAAAAATGACATTTTTGAATTCTATTAATGATTCGATTGTCATTTAAAATACAAATTCTATCATTTTTAGAGGATTTTTGTAGAATTTTAAAAGAAAGAGAAAAAGATGGTGAGTATAAAGTTCTATTCCAAAAATTTCTTGAGAGGTTTAAATGGTAACAAAAAAAAAATCATATTTTAATATATACACTTCATTTGGAGCCTAAGGAACTTATTATAAGCTGCCAAATATGTAGACCGCGTTGGAATTATTGTGTTGACTTATTAAAAGTCATGTGTGGATCACATACATAAGTCATTCATCAATTTTCAAACAAGTATATACTATAGGATTTTTTAGCAACCACTCATTCCCTTTTCATGACATCTAATAACAAATTAAACTCAATTTAGCAACAGTTTCTCTTTCATTCTGAGTCCTATCCCAATGCCTCAACTTAAGCTACTTGTTATTCTTCTTCACATTGTAACCTGTGTTTCAACTACTGAATTTGTCTATAATACAAACTTCAACTCCACAAACATCGACTTATATGGAAATGCAACCATTAACAAATCCATTCTCACTCTCACTAATGGCACTTCAGCTTCCTTCGCAATAGCTCGTGCTTTTTACCCTTTTATAGTACCTACCAAACAACCAAACTCTTCCACTCTTCTCCCCTTTGCTACTTCCTTCATTTTCTCTCTTGCTCCTATCGAAAACTTTATCACAGGACATGGCTTTGCTTTCATATTCACGCCTTCGAGAAGTCTAAATGGAACAACGTCCACTGAGTATTTCGGTCTCCTCAACTACACTAATGAAGGTAATCATAATGACCATATATTTGGAGTAGAATTCGATGTAGTTAAGAACGAAGAATTCGAGGATATAAATGATAATCATGTTGGTATCGACATAGACTCTCTTAGATCCTTAACTTCGCATACCGCTGGCTATTGGGATGGGAAAGATGGCAAGAAATTCAAAGTGCTGAACATAAAAAGTGGAGAAAACTATCAAGTATGGATTGAGTTTATCCAATATCAGCTAAATGTTACGATGGCTCCAGCAGGAAGAAAAAGGCCAAATGTGCCTCTTATCAGCACGAATCTTAGCCTTTATAAGGTTCTTGGTAGTGAAACTTCTGTTGGATTCAGCGCATCCAATGGGGTGAAAAAAGATAGTGTTAAGATTCTTGCTTGGAGCTTTAGTAATTCGAATTTTTCAATTGGTGATGCTTTAGTAACAGACAACTTGCCTTCATTTGTCCCTTATAAGGGATGGTTTTCTGGAGCAAAAGCTATAGCTGCAGAAGTCGCCAGTGTTTTCTGTTTGTTAACCATAGGTTGCGGTTGCATAGTGTTTTTCATCCTATATAGAGGGAAAAAAGGAGAAGAAGAAATTGAAGAGTGGGAGCTAGAATATTGGCCACATAGAATTAGTTTCCAAGAGATTCATGCAGCTACAGGAGGGTTCCCTGAAGAGAATGTGGTTGCTGTTGGTGGGAACGGAAAGGTGTATAAAGGGATTTTGCAAGGAGTTCAAGTTGCGGTCAAGAGAATTCCTCAAGAAAGAGAAGATGGGATGAGAGAGTTTTTGGCAGAGGTTTCAAGCATAGGAAGAATGAAACACAGAAATTTAGTAGGATTTAGAGGTTGGTGCAAAGAAGGAAATGGAAACTTGATTCTAGTTTATGACTTCATGAATAATGGTTGTTTAGACAAATGGATCTTTGAATGTGAAGAAGGAAAGATGCTAACATGGGAAGAAAGGGTTCAAGTTTTGAAAAATGTAGCTGCAGGAATTCTATACCTGCATGAAGGTTGGGAAGTAAAGGTCTTACATAGAGATATCAAAGCAAGCAATGTTCTACTTGACAAGGACATGAATGCTAGATTGGGAGATTTTGGTTTGGCTCTTATGCATGAGCATCATGGACAAGTGGCCAGCACAACAAAAGTACTAGGGACATTAGGATACATTGCTCCGGAAGTGATTCGAACGGGAAGAGCGTCAACTATGTCAGATGTGTTCGGCTTTGGAATATTAATGTTGGAAGTAATTTGTGGGCGAAGACCTATTGAAGAGCATAAGCTAGGGCTAATTGAATGGGTGGAGTCCTTAATGGTGCTTGATCAATTGCACAATGCATGTGATGAAAGGTTGAAGGCCAGAGGAGGATATCCTATTGAGGAAGCTGAAAGATTGCTTCATTTGGGTTTGTTGTGTTCAAATTCAGACCCTAGTGTTAGACCAATAATGAGACAGGTTGTGAAAATCATGGAGGGAGAAAAGGATTGCATTGATTCTGAAGAAGAAAATATGGAGACAAGTTTACTTGGAAGAATTAACTCAGCTGCAATATGGTCTAGAACTGAAAGTGCAGTTCCAAATAGAGATCATCTTACTTTTGAAGAAATTAGAATGTTTAGTTATAATTCTAAGGTGTCTACAAGTGGCTCAAATTACATTCCAACATCAGATTCAGATGTCATTCAGGATGGCCGGTAATGTTGTAGGTCTTCGGTTGTTGCAGATTTTCGGTTATCCGTCATGTTGTAAAGAATGAAGAATCTCCAAGGTCTAGCTTATTTGGAGTTGGTTTGTGTATACTATCCAATGAATTAATTGTTTTTCTACTATAATTTTTTAACATATCATCTAAAATGTTGTATATTTATAATGCCAAAACTATGTAACATTGTACAAGGCCATCAGGTGTGTTAAATTTAAACACAGCAAAGAAAAAAAGTAGTGTTGTATAGGCACCACTTTGATGCGTTGATAGATTTGTATGCATCCATATGTTTGTTTCTAAAGGAAAAATTGCAGAAATGACAATGCTAGTTGAATTGTGAAGCATCTTGTTAATGGAAATTAGGATGCATTTTGCTATAGTTTAGATAAAACTAAGTTTATCTGCTTGCTTTGTAGCTCAAGCAATCTAAAACATCATCACAGGGTGAGGATTGAACATCATGTCAATAAAAGTCTTGGAAGGGTCTTAAATTACAGTTAGTTTTCAAAATTCAAGTAAAAAAAACTTATCTTTTCGCATCAATATTCTGAATCCTCCCATGCTAGAATTGTTTACATTTAAATGTCTGTCCTATTGAAAAAATAATTTAGTTAATGTCTAAAATCTACCTCACGTGTTATGGGAAGAAGCTGTTGCCACATCAACATATATTTTGAACAGATGTCCAACGAAGAAGCTGGAGGAAGTTGTTCCTTTAGAAAAATAGACTGGAGATAAGCAGAGTGTCAGTCATCTGAAGGTGTTTGACTTTGTCTGTTACAAACACGTTCTAGAAGCTAGAAGACAAAAACTGGATGATAGAAGCAAAGTAATATTGCTGGTGGGGTACTACAGTACATGTGCGTATAAGCTTTATTGTCCAGAAACTAATAAAGTTGAAGTCAGCAGAGACGTTGTGGTGAAAGAGTCTGAAACATGGGATTGGAACAAATCTCAATCAGATTCTAGTGTAGTGCCAACACCAGAGTTAGCTTCTGAAGATGTTTTAGAAAGTTCAGAAGATGAATATGATTCTGAAGATTCTGACAATGGATCTGATTCTGATCCAGATGCTGATGATGATCCAGAATCTGGTGGTAATCATAGTTCTGAAAGGGAAAACTCTGAAGGTGGTAACTCTGAAGGTAGTAGTTCTGGTGCAGCTTCAGAACAAGCTCAGAGACCACAGAGAATCAGACAAAAACCAAGAAGATTTGCAGATTTTGACATGTTGCAGGATAATGAAGTTGACTCTGAAGGAGAAGTCGTTCAGTGTGCCATGTTAGTAGATTCTGAACCAGTGGGCATTGAAGAAGCTCTCAAAAAGAAAGAATGGATGAATGCCATGAAAGAAGAACTTGAGGAAATAGAAAGAAACAAAACGTGGAAATTGACTAAACTTCCAGATAAGAAAAAATCCATCAGCGTCAGATGGGTTTTTAAGTTGAAACTTAAGCCAAATGGTTCAATTGGCAAGCACAAAGCTAGACTAGTAGCTAGAGGTTTTCTTCAAAAACCTGGGCTAGATTATTTTGAGGTGTTTGCGTTTATAGCTAGGCATGAAACAATCAGACTGGTGATTGCTTTAGCTGCAAATAGAAACTGGCCTTTGATGCATCTGGATGTGAAGTTTGCATTTATGAACGGTCCATTACAGGAAGAAGTTTATGTGTCACAACCTCCTGGGTTTGTGAAAAAGAATCAGGAAAGGATGGTATACAAGTTGAATAAAGCTCTGTATGGACTGAAAGCGCCCAGAGCTTGGAATCTGAAAATTGATTCGTTTTTCAAGAAGCAGGAGTTTCAGAAATGTGAGATGGAATATGGCGTTTATGTGCAACATTCTGATAACAATATGATTCTGGTGTGTCTCTATGTTGATGATATTTTGCTAACAGGTAGCTACCCAGAAGATATAAAGAATTTCAAAGAAGTTCTGATGAATGAATTCGAGATGACAGATCTAGGAAATATGACATATTTCCTAGGGATGTAGATTTTGTACTCAAAGAAAGGTATCATTCTACATCAGTTGAAGTACGAACTAGAACTTCTGAAGAGATTTAAGCTGTAGAATTGTAAAGTTGCTGTGACACCATCAGAAACCAATAAAAAATTGGATTCTGACTCTGATGGTGATTTTGTTGATACTACAACCTTCAAACAATTGGTTGGTTCTCTAAGCTATTTATGCAATACTAGACCTGACATTTGTTATGCAGTTGGATTGGTTAGCAGATTCATGAATAATTCAAAGTGGTCTCATTTTCAAGCTGCTGTTAGAATTCTGAGATATATTAAGGGAACCCTGAAATATGGAGTGTTGTTTCCTTCTGAAAGAAAGACAAAACCAGAATTAGTAAGTTATTATGATTCTGACTGGTGTGGAGACAGTGGACAGAAGAAGTACTTCTGGATACTTGTTTAAATTTCTGGGAGGTCCCATTTCCTAGAGTTCCAAGAAACAGTCTGTTGTGGCTCTATCAACATGTGAAGCTGAGTATATCGCAGGTGCTGTAGCTGCTTGTCAAGTTGTTTGACTTCTGAATCTCTTGCATGATCTGAAGGTTGAAGTTGAGGAACCTCTGAAGCTGATGATTGATAATAAATCTGCAATTGATCTTGCCAAGAATCCAGTGCTACATGGAAGAAGCAAGCACATTGAGACGAAGTATCATTTTCTCATAAGTCAAGTGTAGAAAGGAGTGTTAGAAGTTCTGCACTGAAGCACTCAGAGACAGTTAGCAGATCTTCTGACGAAAGCAGTTAAGACAGATCAATTTCTTCGCTTGAGAGATGAAATTGGTGTTGTTAGCTTCTGATAGAATATCTAAATTAAGAGATGATATTGGAAAGATAATTTAGTTAATGTCTACAATTCTTAATGCTTATCTTTTAATAGGGTCTTTTGACATTTTCAATATTTAATATAAATATGCTATACTAGACTATCAATATTATACTCAATTTTATCTCCTCTATTTTGATATACAACAGTAGTCTTGTTATCATTCTTGTTCATTCTTCTTCTCCCACTTCATTACCTTACACCAAAATATCCAAATTGACAATTTGTAAGAGCTACATTACAACCCCAATTTTGTCCCCAATTCCTAGCCATTGGTATCCATCTAGTTATAGTTCCCTTCACTTTCACAGCAACCACTTCACCATCCAACCCTACATTGGTAAATATGAACTTTGATAGAAATAATAACTTCCACTATTGTGAATTTCAGGCCACCAGTTCTTTTATATTTAACTTTGCATCACATTCATAAGCAAAAGAAACGTTGTATAAGCTAGATGCCTCTAAGCATTAAAAAAAGAGTTAGACCCTATTTGAATAGACAGCTTTATTAGACACATAAAATAATCACAATTTTAACTCCATCGGCCACATTCATCCGTATTATAAAGGCTTGCAACATAACTATTTGCAGTTGCAATTTAAAACAACGTATATCATATAAATGCTTATATATAAACTAATGTCCAATTATTTTCACATAAGTTATAATATGATTTATAAGTTATCTCGTAGAGCTTATATAAATAAGTTAAAAACAATTATGGTCGACTATCTCATAGAACTTATATAAATAAGTTAAAAATAAATGGTCGACGGACATAAAGCATATCTATAAGCCCTTTCAAACCGTCTAGAAAAATACATTTTTAGTAATGTTGACTTTCAGTTAAAAGTCAACACTCGGTCAATGGTTAATGGATTGACTAGTCAATGGTTAATTCAGTCAATAGTCAATAGATTGACTAGTCAACGGGTCAATTAACTTACGAGTGACTTGAATGGTTCGTATGTATCATATTTGAATATTTTGATTCCCCCGCATTGATAACACTATGTCATTATGCAATATTTATGAGTATTTTTCGATAGAATCAATGAATTTTCGAGCAAAAGAGGAGCTAAAATGATGAAGAAGTGAGTAAAATAGCAAAAGAAGAAATATTAGGGAATTAGAAAAATATGAAAAAAGCAAGGAAGAAAAGAAGAAAAGGCCCCTGGAATTCTTCCGATGGTGATGGCTTCATCATGGGCACGATGGAAAAGTATTGTGATCGCGATGCTACTAATCGTAGTTGCGATGATGGTACAAAAGTATGACTCATTTGCTTTAAATAGAAAAAGATGTTATCTTTCTCCCAAAATGGGTGGCATTTGAGGCATAATGAAATATGTAATTCATATATTTTTTTCTTCTTATTTTTAGGCATAGTCCACATAAGCCAACACAAGCCATACCAATTGCTATAGTCATTCGTAGAAAACTATTCATCAGTAGATCAATGAAATTGTCTGTATCCAAGTTACATTTATAGCATGACTCCCTAATAAATTTTGCCAACGGCTCAATTCTATTTCTCTCTAATTTTGCAGGCAATACTGTAGCTAAGTAGGGAACCACGTGATTGTGCCACTTTTCTTCCACATAGCAATATTTGTCTGTGGTACTTTTGGTAGGAACCACATGACATATGAAACTAATAATTGTGAAAATAGAAGCAATAGTGTCATTATAATAAGCTATTTAAATCCAAGACTAATTATTCCTTGCTGAACTAAATATAAACAGTATTCTACGCTCTATAATTGACAAAACCTCTCCCAATAATACACTCTTTATTTAAGCAATGGATAGTGCCTGAATTCAACAACATATCATATATTCATACTACATTACATTAGTACAAGCTCTCTCTCCTCTTTGGAGAGGGCTACAGAACTCTTGAGACAAAAATTACAAATAATTGCACATCAATATCAACTATATCTAGGCATACAAAGTAAAAATCACTCCCTTGTCCACTCAACTGCAAACTTTCTTACATTTTTTTTAATGAAAAAGGGAAAAAAATAACAGTATTTGGTTTCACACTGTAATCGATTTTGGTTGTCGATACGAGATCATACGACTTATGACACATGACTAAATAATATTGACCGTTGATTTGAGATCCAACGTGGTAA